AACAGAGTTCCAAAACCTCAGATAAGATAAATAAACAGAGTTGAACTTACCTTGTTCAAGTTTTACCCTTCGTTTCCTTACTCTGAAGAAAAAGCATATGCTGCTGAAAATAGTGACAAAAACAACCAAAACTACAACGATGATGATGACAGTTTGTTTTGTGTTACTCTTCTTTTTTGCTGAAAATCAGATGGGATATCTTATCAAAAACCAAAACCACACCACACAATTGTAGGACATGGATCAAATTGAAGATTTGCAGGGTAACCATAATAAGCATACATACCTTCTTCAGGTGCTGGTGCTGGCGGAACTGGAGGTGAAATATCTACTAACGAACCGGCTCTAGACGCAAAGAAACTATAATTCTCATACCTTAAATTACAGCTGGGTTTAAGGACTCTTCCTCCATTCCTTCCACGGCAACATATCTAAGATGGTCTTGTTAAGGCAATTGCTGCAGTTTTTCTTGTCCATGTCTGGAGTGCACTGAGCAAGCGCGTATATTGTTTCATCTCCAGGGACAGGTGCATGCCCTGCTGCAAATTTTTGAAGAGAATTCCCTGACGCAGCTCTGTCCCTTAAAATACCCAACAAGGGGGTAAGCACCAGCTCAAACTGTTCAGGATTTTTAGGATAGTTTGGGCTAGGCAAAAGCTGAAAAGGGTCCGTTTGTTCAATACCAAATATCAAGTTGTATGAGTATCTCACCATACAACGCTCTGCCCATATGATTGCTTCCTTTTGAGTTGAACAATTTTGCAAGAGACTATGAGTAGAGTCGTTGAGACAAGCCTGACAAGAGTCCTGTAAGAGATCTCCTCTGCATAATGCAATTGCATTGACCTTGTTGGAGTCTTGTCCCCTGGATGAACTGTAAAACCCGGAATTGTTTTGGGTGTTGGAGGAAAAGGAAGAGAGGACGCTGTTGAGGTTCTCTTGGTACTCGTCACCTGCTGTGTAGGTGCCAGTATCAGAGCATTTCCAGCAGTACTCACCTTTTTCTGTGCACATGACATCATCTTGGGCTATGGTGGGAGCAACA